TATCCCCAGTAAGCATTTCAAATAAAATTACTCCCAGGGCCCATATGTCTAGGGGAGGGCCTTCGTACCGCTGGCGCGAGAATATTTCGGGGGCACAATATGCCAATGTCCCCCTAACTACAGTCACCTTCTGTCCAGGGTGGAACCGGATCCCCACCCCGAAGTCACAGACCTTGGCCCGACCTTGAATGTCCATCAGAACATTTTCGGGCTTGAGGTCCCCGTGTACAATGCCACGATCGTGGCAGTGACCCACTGCTTCTAACAGGTCTCTGAAGATCCTCTGGGCGTCCTTCTCCTGCAGCCTGTTCTTATGGTTTCTGCGTAACTCTTGTCGCAGGTTGACCCCCTTTACATATTCTAAGACCAGGTGTACTTTGTCTTGATATTCTATCACTTCCAGTAATTGTGTGATATTGGGATGTCGAAGTTCCTTCAGTATGCCAACCTCCATCTCAATGTAGGACACTTCCTGGTCTGCCCTTTTTAACTCCTTTAGAGCTACCTGGATTCCTGTCCCATAGTGTCGTGATAGGAATACCTTCCCAAAGCCTCCTTGGGCCAGGAGGCGCAGCACATCATATCTACCCTGCATCCTATATTTCTGCAAGCTGGTCGTCAGGCCCAGACAGGATGTTTCATCGCTGGCTCGACCGGAGCACTGCTTTCCACAGGGTAAGGACATTGTGCACTCTCCGTAGTACCAAATCAACTACAGTCCACCAACTCCCTCTCAAGTCTCCTTCCACCCACAACAGACCCCCCTGAGGCATGGCCTTTTATTGCTAACTGCCGTGACCTCACACAGGCTGCTGTGATGTCACAGATCCAACGGGCCAATGCAGAGCTGGCCACACCCACCAGGGCCACCTCACTCATGACCATTAGGATCTCTTGTTTGTAACAGAAAAGGTTACAAAATTTCTTGCTTGTGTGGGTTATGGAGATTGACGCACAAGTGTTGAGAAGTGAAAATCAATCCTCAGGATGCTCCAAAATCCCTTTCCTTTCTGTTATACCTTCTGTTTTAGAGCTCCCATGGTTTCTACACTCAACATATCCAATTCCTTTTCCTTTAAGTTCTTGCTGGTTTCAAAGTGATGCTGCACTGTGAGAAGCTGGTCCCTTCCTGCTGGTCTGCAGGCCACCGCTGCTAGAAACCCAGTTTCTTTGTGTTCAGGTTAATCTAGTAGACTTTCTATTTGTGTCCATTGATTGGTTTATCTGTCCCTGTGTCAACACTGCTTCAGCTTCTGTGTTAAAATATATTGGTTACATAAGATTTCCTGCAAGAGGGCTTGCAACATTTAAATCTTTTAAAGCAACAGTACATTGGAGTGTGTGTATGGTACTGGGCATTGAACCCGGGACCTGTGCACTGAGCCCTGTCCCCCGCCCTTTATTTTATTTATTTATTTTTAAAATTCTGAGACAGGATCTCAGGAAGTCAAGAAGGTGCTCAAGCTAGGCTTGAACTTGCAAGCCCACCTTGACCAGAGTGCTGGGATTATAGCCTACAACACCACGTTCAGCAATTAATAAGAGTTTAAGTTGCAAAACATTGTGGGGGGGGCCCGGCCATGGCCCTCCTGGCATTTAACATTTGAAAGGAAACTTCTTCCTCTACACTTAAGGCATTGATACAATCTATGTAACATTTGTTACTTTTCAAGGTCTCTGCTTGTTAAACTTGTTTTTTTGACCCTGCAATGGGAGAAACTCTAAGAGATAGCCACAGATCTGATGTTCTTTGTAAAGAGTTAGAAAATCTTTGCATAAGATACAAATAGTTGCTTGGTGCTTCCTGCTGAGGTGCCTTTAAAAGGAGCCTTTTCTGTGAAATAAATCCCTTTCCTTTCTGTTATACCTTCTGTTTTAGAGCTCCCATGGTTTCTACACTCAACATATCCAATTCCTTTTCCTTTAAGTTCTTGCTGGTTTCAAAGTGATGTTACAACTTCATTGACATTAGAGTACTGTAATGCTCTGTTTAGGAAACATGTCGTGGCACCTTAATGCCCGTGAAGCTGACAGGAGATACCTATCATAATCATTTCCCCCCAAAGATGACTGATAGAAAAGTGCTATACAATCACATGGGCCCTGGCCTAGCCTCCATTTTCTTTTCCCACAAAACGTTTTGTTTTGGAAATGTAACATTGTGCTGGTGGGCTCCTACCCAATGTGTCAAAATGGTTTGTGACTGTTTGAACTTTGTGACCTTTCAGGGATGTTCTGTTAAGCTCTGTCCCCTCACAAGAAGGTTCTGTTAAGCTTCTCCCCCCGCCCCAGGAATGTTCTCTAACTTGGCCCCTCTGCTTCTGGAAAGTTCTTGAACTTCAACCCCACCACAGCCCCGCTTAATTGAGCATGCTTTCCTACCCTGCAGGTCCCTAAATAGGGAGGCTCTCATACATCCTTTATCCTAGCACCCTTAATCCTAACATTGTAACATGAATCAAGCACATGCTCTAGATTCAACCACCTCTACAGAAACCCCCAAGACTGCATGAGGCTTTAGGGTGGACATCTAGAAACAAACCATAGCACTCACATTTGGTGTTACCTACTTCAAACTAATTGGTTTTTTCACATTGGTCCTGTTGTGTTTCTGTTCTCTTCCCACACAGCATGAATTATGAAGTGTGGTAAAAAGTATAAAAAATAGCAAATGGCACATTGCAGTGAGGACCAACACATCACAAATACCACTGAAGAACTGATGGTCCAACTGCAAACCCCCCAAAGACTTACATCTGTGTGGCAGGCAACTGCCTGAATCAGATAGTAGCAGCTTTGCAGTTCTCCCTATTCTACCAAAATGAATTCCTAACACTGTCCTTTGCCAACTGAATACTGTATACGCGAGTTGGCTCTATGATTTCAGTTCAGTTTGTTTTTATATTGTCTCCAAGGGCATCATTACTTATTGCTTTTCAGTTCCAAATTGCCCCTTCCCCCTCAGGATCTCTCTGTGGTACCAGACTGAACCTAAGCATTTCTCCTTGCTTGGGATCATGGTGTTAAGCTTTGTAGAAGGAACGGTTTGGGGTGCCATGTTCTGCTTTGTGGTGTGGCCCATCATGCACATGTGTGGAGATGTCTGCCGGTGCCTCCCCAGAGTGCTCAGAGGAAGCGCTCATTCCTCAGACACCATGTCCCTCGCCTAGTGTGCCCACCTCGTTGTGGTAACCCTCACAATGGGCCGCAGGCCGAGGAACACCAGCTACCTTTGTGTGCTACCCGCTCAGAGCTGTTTCTGTGTGTTTGCCAGCCACAGGTAACTCTGCCCTGGGACACGTTGACAACACACCTGCCCCCTCAGTGAGCTAAATCCACTTTCTGTCTAGCAGCTCCGAGCCTAAGCCACGGGTGGGCTCTCTACCTAAGCTTCTCTTCCATGGCTTCTCTCTAAGCCCTTGCTTATGCTTTGGAGTTCTTTTATTTTCATTAACTCTGCTATCTTATGACAGGTTAAAAATTCTTTATACTTGATCCGGCAGGTGCGCCACCTCCCGGACTGTGCAACACCAGACCCAGTAAGGACCCAAGGACCCAGGAGGGGTTCTCTTGACCTGCCTGCCTGCCTGAGATCATCCGGCAGGTGCGCAACCTCTCGAACTGCGTGACACCAGACCTAGTAAGGAAGGTAGCCCTTGAAACACCCCCATAACCCCCCCGTTCTCAAACCTCTTGATTGTGTCATTCCTTGGACCAACTCTGCAGAGGTATAGGCTCTCATGAAGGGTAGTTTTCTGAGCTCCCAACTTTGAACATCTTTAAAGAAAGGGAAGGGGAAACCTGTAATAGAACTGAGTGGAGTTCAACCCTGAGGGTTGGGAAGCTCAAGTTAGGCCTTGTGGACTGAGTTCAGTCTCCATCGTGGGGAACTGCCATTGGCTAGCTGAGACCAGGGG